TGCACTGACTGTGACCAGGCAGGTGAGGTGCTGCCTGGGAAGGTCCTCGTGATGATGGGGCTGGGATAAGGAGCTGCATGACATCACTCATGTCAGCCCAATAGCGCCCTCCCAGCGTGGGAGAGGTGGGCCTGGCAAGATTTCAAAACCTGAATTATTTATTCAAAGATCTGGAAAGCCAGCAAGGGGGGGGGGCACTTCCCCGAAGCAGCAGGAGAGGGGGAGCCAGGAAGAACTTGGAAGCAGAAAACCTGACAGCACAGTCCCCAGGGCAGGCCCCTCTCACAATCCCCCATCTTAAGCATTCTGGCAGGGTAAGGCACAGAGAAGGAGCTCCATCTTCCCCAGCCCTGCCTGTCCTTTGTCCCAGGGAAATATACCATTCAGCTGACTTTTCCAGAGGAGACAGATGTGCCCAGGGGGAGAGAAACTGGCTGCTTCTCCTTCCTCTGTCTCTAGCTTTGATCCTCAGTGGATCCCTCCAGGCCTGTGGGATGGTGGTAGAGGATAGGGATCAGGTTAGGGCTTCAGGAAACCAGAGGGGCTCAGATCCCAGGCCCCACTGACTTCTCCCCTGACCGTGGCACTGCTGTTGTTCCCTCAGTCAGTGTGGGGCAGGGGGGAAGGAGGTGACAGGCCAGCGGCAGAGTACAAGGGAAGAGAAGAGCGTAGGGGCTGGGAAGATGATGTATTTCCAGTTGGATGTGGTGAGTTGGGGATAGAGGTGGTCAAATCCTAGTTCCTGCATTTCCTCGCTGTGTTACTCTGGGGGAATTTCTTCAGCACTCTGCACCTGTCTTCTCATCTGTAAGAGAGGGTAATGTTAGTATCTACCTCAGGATTGGTGGGAGGGCCCGGCACATTCTCAGCACTGTGTTAGCTACCAATAGCATATCTGGCAGAAGGAGGACACCTGGGAGGCATAGGTGAGCAGGTAGTAATTGAGTTTTCTAGGGCTAGATGATCTCACTCAGTGAGGAGAAAAGCCCCAGGGAATGCCGTCACTGAGGGCACAGAATGTGGGTGAATGTGTTCTTGCAAAAGGTCCTGGCCTTCCCTTCGCCCAGAACCCCTTCACTTCATTCAAACCTTTGCCTTCAAGTCAACCCTGAAGCAGGCTTCCCGAACCTCTATCCTAGATTACCCCACCCGCTCTCCCCTCTTTCCTTGAGTTATTATTTCTCAGAGCTTCGCATTCCTAAATTTGTGTTTATTCATGTATTTTCTTTTTCACTTCACATTGGCCTCACCAGAATATAAGCTCCATGAGGGGAGAGACTCTGTTCTGTGCCACCACAGCACCTGGCGCTGTAGCAGGATGCTTAGAGTAAAAAGCAACGTCTAGAGAAAGTGGAGAGTACTGATATGCCCAGTGTCCAGAATGAGGGGGGTGGGAAAGAGAGAGCATACAGGGGCATCAGCCCCCCAGAACTCAGGTGTCCACTCTCTTCCCCATCTGAGCCGGGTTCCAGCAACTTCCTCTCTGGTCTCTGGGTTGGGAGAAGGTGGCCGGCAGGTTGGCAGGAAAGAGCTATGTGAGAGACTATCTTCTGCTATTCTGAGTGGCAGTAATAGTTCTTTATTTTATTTTATTTTTTTACAAATGTTCATTGTTAATTAATCCTCTCATGAAATGTCTGCACAATCACCACAGATAAAGTCACTGCAGAGTCTTTAGTCCTTTTGGCCTGAGCCAGAGAGGGCCTGTGTGGTGACATTCTTCATTCTGTTCTCATGTCCCACTTGCTCTTTTCTTGAGGTCTTTTTCTTCTCAAGCTGACCATGTCTTACAAGGCTGTCTTTGGGTTCATTTTTCTTTCATAATCCAAGGAATTGTAAATCACGCCCAAGCCAGTTGCTGCGCCACTGTCAACATGGGTTCCTACTCCAAATATAAAGATGACATCTGGAATTGTCTTTTACTATTTCGGCTAGTTTTCCCCCCAAAGTTCTGCCTTAGATACTGTTGCCTTCTTGCTGTGAAGAACATGAATGACCACATTTCCACTGAAGTAGTTGGTTGGCTAAAACTTCCTGATCCACAGAGCCACAGGGTCGTTCAAAATGGAAGGTGATCCTCAGGCAGTCGGGGACGAAAAGAGTACAGTGATATTTCTAGCCATGAGAAACGCCAGACACCCAAGAGGCTCAAGTGAAGTTATGGATTTTCCCACGGGCACTCCCTCCATGCTTCAAAACTGCCCGATGCCAATGAGACAATGGAGGCCATCATTGCCAACTGGGTCTCTCTTCCCCAAAGATCTGCTATCTAGAGAAAGGGCTGTCCCTTCCTCTTCTATCCTCCTCATGTCCTCTGCCCTATCTCCTTGCTTCCTCCCCACTACTGATACCCTGTCCAGTCCTTCCCACCTACCAGGTGCCAGACCAGATCCCAGGGCTTAGAACAACCCTGTATTCCCATTTCATGGGTGAAGACTAGAGAAGCTGAAGGACTTGGCCCCAGTCACACAGTACATGGCAGAACTGGGACGTGAAGCTGGTTTATCTGCAAATCCAGTGTGACTTCCATTCCATCCTAAAGTCACCTGGGAATCAAGTTTGACCAGGGCTGACAACACCTGTAGTTCCCCAGGTGACCACCAGATGGCTATGAACACTAGATTCTAGGTAAGACTTCTTCCCTTACCATTCTCTCTTCAATTTGGGGAATCCCATGGGCCTAGGTCTTCATGGAAGATGGGTGTGTGTCTGAGGCACAGATAATATCCACACAAGCCCCTGTTCAAGCCCCAAGAATCTGGGCATCGTCTGAGCACACATTCTTAACACAGACCCATTTGTTCATTCACCCAGTATTTACTGACAGTTCCCTGGGCTTTGAGTGGGTGTTATGGACAGAGAGATGATCTGGCCACATCCCTGCATTTTATTTTCTTTTTTCTTTTCTTTTCTTTTCTTTTCTTTTCTTTTCTTTTCTTTTCTTTCCTTTCCTTTCCTTTCCTTTCCTTTCCTTTCCTTTCCTTTTTTCCTTCTTTTATTCCTTCTTTTCTTAAGTAAACTCCATGCCACACATGGGGCTCAAACTCACAACCCCGAGATCAAGTCACATGCTCTACAAACTGAACCAGCCCAGCGCCCCGACATCTCTGCATTTTCAATGTTCAGTAAAGTTTTACTGAGCATGTGCTACTTTCCAGGCATGGTTCTAGGGACAGAGGATAAGGCAATGAACAAAAATCCTTGATTTCACAGAGCGCCATTCTGACGGGGAAAGATGGACAATCTACAAATAAACACTTAAAATGATTCTAAGTAGGGGGCCCCTTGAGGGTCTCACAGACCAGAAGGACAGGACAAGCATACAGTCACAACATGATACAATCTGTTTATTTAATAAACACCTACTTAGCCCTTAAGTGTAGAGGGAGTTAACTACAGAAGATAAACATGGCTCCTGCCTTCATAGAAATTACAGCCTAGGATACAAAAGAGTAATTAATTACACATTTGATACGTGTTTTTTTTAAAGATTTTATTTATTTATTTGACAGACAGAGATCACAGGTAGGCAGAGAGGCAGGGAGGAAGCAGGCTCCCTGCCGAGCAGAGAGCCCGATGCGGGGCTCCATGGGACCCTGAGATCATGACCTGAGCCGAAGGCAGAGGCTTTAACCCACTGAGCCACCCAGGTGCCCCAATACGTGTTTTGAAGGAAAAAGGAAGTATCATGAGTGGGGAAGAGAAATGGGGCAGTTTTAGGGGTCTGGGACACACTCAGGTGAAGGTGCCCAGGAAGCAGATGGACCCACTGGGTCCTGGGTTCACATCCTGGCCCCCCTCATTGTAACCATGTGCCCGTGGGCAGGTGATTTTACTTCTTTTTTTTAACGTTTATTTATTTATTTACTTATTTTAGTTATCTCTACACCCACGACCCCAAGATCAAGAACCACATGCTCTTTCGACTGAGCCTGCCAGGTGCTGGATTTTACTTCTGAAGCCCACAAACTGGGGATAACAAAAGCCATGCCTAGAGGGTAGTCATGGACATTAGATGAGAAGCTGCAAGTAAGTTCTTAATGGAATGTATACTCTACTAAGAGTAAGAGGTCAATAGTGTGAACTATGTATTATTAGTTACAGGTGGCAGCTGGGGAAGGAACACTGGGCTGGAGATGGAGATAGGAGACCTGATAGCTTTCAGATCAGAGCCAATGGCAGAGGAATGGCCAAAATGGTCCCACGAGTGGTGGAATAGGTCTCAGGAAGGAATTGGGCCACCAGGAAGAAGAGGGGGAAGGAGGAAAAGGAGGGGCAGCAGAGAAGGGGAAAGAGAGTGGAAGTGAAAGAGAAGGGGGAAAAAGAGGAGGTGCCCTCTAAGGAACCCGAGGAGAAGATACAGAGGGGGAAAGAACAAGAAGAGGCCGGTGCCAGGGCAGGAGTTGAGGCGGAAGGAAGTCTGTGGAAACCCTCAATTGTCCTACTAATAGAGACCAATAACTTGGTCGGAGGGCGTGGTGGGAAGCTGAGGGGCAGAGAGAGTAGGGTGCAAGGGGTGAAGCGAGGTGGGCGGTCAGAGTCCAGCGGCCTGGCGAAGCCAGTCCCTGGGCGTGGGCCTATTTGGGTTCACTCAACAAGGTCTGGCCTGCGGGAAAGTCACCTCGCTTCGAATCCAGATTTTGCACTGTGACCTCAGCCTACTCACTCACCTTTCCTGAGCCTTAGCTTCCTCACCTGTGAAGTAGTGATACTAACTACCTCGCGAAGTTTTCAGGAAGCTGCGGGCAAGGACTCCCAGGACCAGGCCTTGCTACTACACCTGGATCCCGCCCCCTTTTGTCCAAGCCCCTGCCCAGATTGCCGAACCAGGCTCGGCCAGGACGCGCCCACCACCCACGCCCACACATGACCCCGCCCCCGGCAGCCGGGCCCCACCCCGACGGAGGGCCTGGCCCCGCCCCAGAATGACCCCGCCCACCTGGTCACGCCCAGGTTGCCTGGGTCTTGCTCCCCACATCCCAGCCGAGCGGAGTCCGGGAGGGACGCACCACAGCAGCTCTCCGCGGACCACCGGCCCCGCCCCGCCCATGGCCGCGCCGGGACCCCGCGCCTTACGGGTCGCGCTCTGTGGCGGCTGCTGCTGCCTTCTCCTGTGTGCCCAGCTCACTGTGGCTGGTAACGCGGACCAGGGTCTGGTTGGAGGCCCAGTCCGGGCAGGGGCAGGGGGGACCTGCCTTCGTCCAGCCGCCCGTTCTGCGGCGGTCTGGGCTGGGGGGCGGGGGGCTGGAGGGGACCTTCCAGAGAGTTCAGGGCTCAAGCGGTGGGTGAAGGGGGTTCTAGCCATGTGTGGAGCATCGGTATATAATAGGCTCCAAGTGTTTGGAAGTGAAGGGACCCCAGGTGTGTCTGGGGTAGGCAGCTCCACATCTATCAGGGAACCCCAGGTGTATGCAAAGGGAGGGGACTCTGGGTGAATGTGGGGGAGGTTGGGGTGTCTGCAACCGTGTGCTTGTGGAAACTCCAGGTGTGTAGTGGGCCTTAGGGCATCCAGGTGAGTGTATGTGTGCAAAGGGGTGAGCACCACAGTAGCAGGGAAGGGCTGGTGCAGCTCAGTTTCAAGGAGTTGCTCCCACTCCCAGGTAAAGGAGCTCGAGGCTTTGGGCGGGGAGCTCTGCTCCGCATGAACATCTGGCCAGCTGTCCGAGGGGCCTGCCAACAGCTCAAGCTCTGTGAGCATTGTGTGGAGGGGCACAAAGCACACAATCTCTCCGGCTGCGTGTGGGAGCAGTGCCGGCCTGAGGAGCCAGGTATGGAGGTGGGCCCTCCCCAAATAGAGTGCCCCCAGTTCAGAACCCCAGGGTCTTGGCCCCTCTCCCCAAATCTCTCCCCTATACCTTCTCCCACCAGGACACTGTGTGGCCCAAGCTGAGGTGGCCAAGGAAGGTTGCTCTGTCTATAACCACTCGGAGTCGTGTCCAGGTAAGGGGACTCCTGCTGACCTAAGCTGAGTTGGAGAGAGGGGTCTGAGGTGTCCCCAACCAGAGCCTTCCCTCCAGGAAGGAACCAGCTGCTCTCGGGGAGCAGACTATGCTCACGAACACCTGGGTCCACTTTCAGTTTTGCCTTTAGCTCATTGAGAAGTCTCTTCCCCACTCTGGCTTATTTCCCCATTTAAAAATTGGCACAGCCAAAGGATCCAGGACAGATGTGTAGAGGGGTTGGAGAAGCGAGCTCGTCTAATTTAAAACAGTGAGGACTTCAGAATCCGAAGTTCAGAAGGGAATGTAGGGAGGGCTTTCTGGAGGAGGTGTCATCAGAGATGACCCTTAAAGGTAGAAATGGAGAGAGGGCACATCCGGTGGAAGGAACTGTATGAACTGAGGCTTGAAAGTATGTTAGCTGGACCTGGATCTGGAACAGGGGTCCTGATGTGAGTCAGAAGTCCAGCTGTTGGCCTGGGTTGGGTTCTTGGTGGGAGTCAGGGAGTGGGAGAGGTGATTTAGTATGGATTCCCTGTCTTTCCAGCTGCCCACCACTACCCCACCTATGAACCAAAGACAGTCACGACAGGTAGGTGCTACCTGGGAGAATGGGAGCGGTGGAAGGACTAGAGGGGCCAGCAAAGACAGCTGGGCTCAGGTGCTGACATGCCCTGTGACCTCAGCCCTGTGACTTTTCCTGCTGAGACTGTTCCCACATCTGTAAAATGGGTTGGGTAATACCTCACAGAATTGCTGCGAGGATTTTACGAGCAGGTGTAGAGAGCCTAGTTCAGTGTCTGATGCATAGAAAGAGATGAGGAAGTGATGGTTCCTGTCGCTCTCCTCCGACCAGTTCTGGGAGCTCAGGCTGACCCTCTCAGGACCTGCCCTTGGTGCTGAAGCGTTCGTGGCTGGCTCAGGCCACCAGGAAGGTGTAGTTCAGTGACTACCTCACAAAGCAGGCTCCTAGCAGAGCAGAAGCAAGAACTCTGGCCCTTGGTTCCCACTGCCCCTCAGGGCCCAGAGGTCACCAGGCTTGATAGGGATGACTGCAGAGGCTTTGGTTAATTAAAGCCAGACACTTGATCTTGGAGGCTGAATTATTGATGGCTCAGCTCCCTCTGGCTGAGCCCTAGATGGGTCTTGGGCAGCTCATTTCTCCCCTCTCCTACTTTCCCCCCAGTGTCCTTCTCTGGGGCTCCCTGTGGTGTAGCTGGGACCACCCTTTGCCTTCATATTCTCCGACCCCCTTACACAAGCTATACCCACCGAGAGGTGCACCCAGCTCCCAGCTGGGCCCCTCTCCACTGCCCCAGAATCATCTTCTGCCACCAGCCCTGCCCTGGCACCTGGCCTAGGGCCTGAAATCGAATCCCTAGTGGGAGTTGATGGCTAACGTGGCACAGGTGGGAGCCACCCAGACAGCCTGGCAACTGGGCACTAAGATGGGCCTGGGCGGGGGGTGGGGGGAGCAGAAATGTTTAGAGGACACTGTGTGACTGGCTCTGTCTTAACTGTGAGGTGACTTTGGGCAGGTCTGGTCCTCAGAACCCAGCTTCTCCCTCTGAGGTACATCACCTAGTCTCCATTTATGCACTTGGTAGGGCATGGGTCCCCACTTCTTCCTTCTGTAAGGGCTCTGACATCGGGTGACTCCAGGGTGTCAGGACTTAGGAGTACTGAAAAGGGACTGTATCATCTGTATTTTGGCTTTGAACCCTGAGAACCAAGGCCAAAAGAAACTCTGAGCCAAAGGGGTCTGGAGGCCTAGCTTCTGGGTCCATCCTTATCTCACCCGGCCAGAGTGGGATAGGGAGGCTAGAAGGGAGCTCATTGCTCTCAGGACCTTGCCGTCCTGAGCCCAGAGAGGATGTAAAAAGACATCAAGCCACAGAGCAACTGGGAGCAGAGCCAGGGCTGGAGCCAAGCCCCCCCACCTCACTAGCCAGGCACTGTCCCTCCCACCGGGCACTTCCCAGCTGGCCACAGGATCTGGGCCAAACTTTTTCTTTTTTTAAATTTAATTTCGTTTTTTCGGTGTTCCAAAATTCATTGTTTATGCACCACACCCAGTGCTTCATGCAATACGTGCCCTCCTTAATACCCACCATCAGGCTCACCCCTCCCCCAGTTTCCCTCCCCTCCAAAACCCTCAGTTTGTTTCTCAGAGTCCACAGTGTCTCATGCTTCGTCTCCCCCTCTGATTTCCCCCAATTCACTTCTCCTTTCCTTCTCGTAATGTCCTTCGTGTTATTCCTTATGCTCCACAAGTAAGTGAAATCATATAATTGACTCTCTCTGCTTGACTTATTTCACTCAGCATAATCTCCTCCAGCCCCGTCCATGTTGATACAAAAGTTGGGTATTCATCCTTTCTGATGGAGGCATAATATTCCATTGTACATATGGACCACATCTTCTTTATCCATTCATCTGTTGAAGGGCATCTTGGCTCTTTCCACAGTTTGGCGGCTGTGACCATTGCTGCTATGAACATTGGGGTACAGATTGGGCCGAACTTTTGAGCCTGCTGCTTGAGGCTCCCATTGTGAGGACTGGGGCCTCCAGGAGGCCTGTGCTGGTTATCGGGGTGGGGTTGGGATCCTGGTCCACAGTGAGGGTGGGATCCTGGTCCACAGTGACCCGCTATGACCTGCACCCTGCAGGGAGCCCCCCAGTTCCCGAAGCCCACAGCCCTGGCTTTGACGGGGCCAGCTTCATTGGGGGCGTCGTGTTGGTGCTGAGCCTGCAGGCAGCGGCCTTCTTTGTCTTACGCTTCCTCAAGGCCAAGGACAGCACCTACCAGACACTGTGAGTACCTGGCCAGCCAGCGGAGTCCTAGCTCCCTTCCCCCACCCCACTCTTGCCCTTTGGGTCCCTTTTAGTGCCAGTTTGGGTCTTTTCAATGGGGCGGCCCTAAGGGCAATGTCTTCCTCCTGACGTCACCCATGGGAACCACACCTCTCCCTCCTCAACGCATGGGGTTCCCTCTGTCCCCTGTTGGCTGGGGCCAGGACTCAGCCTGGACCTACATTTGAGAGCCCAGCTGAGCCCACCTGTCTTTGTCCCTCATGCTGCCGGCAGGGAGGAGAGCCAGTAGGTGACACCCCAGGCAAGCCTTCATTTTGCAGCCCTGTAGCCACAGGCAGGAGCCTGGGACACGTGTGTGGTTTGGTTTTCCTCTAGGAAGGGGAGCTGCCCTGAGGCCCCTGTGTGCCCGTGTGTGCAGTGGGGCGGGTCGCTGTGGCCTCCCTTAACGTGTGTTCTTCCGGCCACTGCCTGCCATCAGGGGGTGGGGGTCCTCACCCAGCCGAGGCAGCACCACTGCCCTGAGTGCCCTCTCTGTCTGGCCTCCGCAGAATCTGACCCCCTTCAGGCCTGGATTCCACAGGAGAAGGAGGATGAAGAGGGTGCCCTCTTGGCGCTCTTGTAGGCACTGGGGGTGGGAAAAACTTTGGCCACCCATGTCTAGCCCCTGTGGGCTGTCAAGCAGGTTCAGTGCCTCCTGTCCCAGGCCTGGTGCCTGCAGCCGGGAGCATTCTTCAGCCGTCTCCTGTCTCACCCATCATGCCTGTGGGCCCCCTGCCTGGCATGGGGTCTGTGCCTGCCTCTTCCCATCCTCCTGGCCTAGCACTGCCGTCAAATAAAAGAACTCTTTGCAGCACTGTGCTCCATGTCCCGCGTCTTGGGCTGCGTGTACATCTGTGGGGGGGGTGGGGTGAGCCATCGTCCTCTCCTTCATGGGAATTCAGCCTTGAACTGCTACTATCACCTCTCTCTCTCTCTTTTTTTTTTTTTTTTAAGATTTTATTTATTTATTTGACAGAGAAAGAGAGAAAGAGAGCACAAGCGCGAGCAGGGGGAGCAGCAGGCAGAAGGAGAGGGAGAAGCGGGCTCCCCTCCGAGCTGGGAACCTGATTCAGGGCTTGATCCCAGGACCTTGGGATCATGACCTGAACCAAAGACAGACCACTTAACCGACCGAGCCACCCAGGTGCCCCGATCGCCTTTTAAAACATTTCTATTTGTTATATGTGTTTAACCCTCCCTGCGCTGTCCGGCCCTTTATAGATAAGTCTATAGAGACTGAGCAAGGTAAGTACACTTGCTCAAGATCACACAGGGGGGCGGAGCAGGGCTGGGCTAGGAATCTAGGTTTTTCTGCTCCAGAATAAGCAGAAGGTCAGAATTCCCCTGCAGAGACATTTCCAGGCTCTGTCAGCAACTAAAGTTAAGTCCCCACCCCAGTGCCTGTCAAGGTAGAGATGCCCCTTGCACTCAACAGTGCCTTCTGCATTCCTGGCCTTCCTCACCCAGGGCTTCCTGGAAAGCCCCTGCCCTCCTGTGCCCACTTCCTCCCCCACCCCCATCCAGAAGCCCTCCCTGGCTGATAACATCCCCCACGGCTGGGCACCAGCTGGAAACAGGACACATGGCTGAGAGGAACAGCATTATCTGATTTCATCCCATGATTGTCCAAGGAAGCAGAGGGACCAGAGAGGGTCACGGTGGCAGCAGCGAGGTCAGCTTGTGGAGCCCTGCAGCTCTGTGTGAATGGGAGGAAGAGATTTCCCAGCTCTGGCCCTGCTTTCTCATCTGTAAAGCAGGGTCACAGCAGGGTCTGTCTCAGTGGCATTCGGGGCAACTCAGAGCAGGTGCACGTGCTCCGTCGGCACCCAGGTCACCGTCACCCTTCCAGCTGTGTAGCCTGCATAGCCTTCAGCTTCTGCCTCCCCCAGGTCCAGCCTCTCTGCACTCCAGCTGGATGGGCTCTGAGGGACCCGGGGGGTCAGGGAGAGTCCACAAGCAGTTCCAGCTCCTCCTTGGCCTCCCAGCTCACCCGTGCCACCACTGCCATGCAGTCCATCTCCTCACTCCCCCACATCAGAGCCTCCATCTCAGGCATCAGCCTCTCCTTTGAGCACCACTCTCTCCATACTTGCATCTCCCTCTTGCTACCTGGCCCGTCTTGCTTTCTGTCTGTTTCAAGCCTTTGCACACACAGTTTCTCCTGCCTGGCCTCCACCCACTTCCCCTGGCTTCGCCAGCCAGCACTTAAGTGCAGGCGGGGAGAATGAGCCTCCTTTCCAGGGCTGAGGGAGGAAATGCCCCACCACCTTCTGGTTTTCCACTCAGTTAAGGTCCTTTCTTTATCTGGGGGCACCTGGGTGGCTCAGAGGATTAAGCCTCTGTCTTTGGCTCAGGTCATGATCTCAGGGTCCTGGGATTGAGCCCCATAGAGCCCCACATTGGGCTCTCTGCTCAGCGAGGAGCCTGCTTCCCCGCACCCTCTCTCTGCCTACTTGTGATCTCTGTCTGCCAAATAAATAAATAAAGTCTTTTAAAAAAAAAAAGCTCAAGAATAGGCAAAACTAAAAAATATAAAAATAAAAGGACCTTTCTTTATCGGATGTTTGTTTTTACCAAAGTAGTAAATGCCTGCAGGAAACAAAAGGTCTATACAGGAATGGATATGAAGAGTGAGGAACACTTTCTCCCCCCCCGCCCCACTCCCCAGAAATAACTAAGCTTAACAGTACGTTTCAGACCCTTTTTGTAAATTTACAGCGTACATACATGCATTCCGTGTTCTTAAAACACAGAGTGGGGAAAAAAAAAACAAAAACAAACAAACAAACAAACAAAAAGAACACAGAGTGGGATCGGGCTATACATATTGTTCCACAACTTTGCCCCTTCCATTAGAGCTCGGGTTTGCCCTATGACATGCCCAGGTGGTGGTATTCTATTCGCTTGTATTCTATCTGTGTTCAGTTGGGTCTGTTCTGTGTTGATTTTTTTTTTTTAAGATTTTTTTTTAGAGAGGGGCGCCTGGGTAGCTCAGTGGGTTAAAGTCTCTGCCTTTGGTTCAGGTCATGATCCCACGGTCCTGAGATTGAGCCCCGCATCGGGCTCTCTGCTCGGCAAGGAGCCTGCTTCCTTCTCTGTCTCTGTCTGCTTCTCTGCCTACTTGTGATCTCTCTCTGTCAAATAAATAAATAAAATCTTAAAAAAAAAAACACATTTTTTTTAGAGAGCACGAGCAGAGGGAGAGGCAGAGGCAGCAGGGAGAAGCAGACTCCACTGAGTGGGGACTCCCACGCAGGGCTCGATATCCAGGACCCCGAGATCATGACCTGAGCTAAAGTCACACACTTAACGTACTGAGGCACCCAGGAGCCCCCATGTTAATTATTATAAAGAGCACATGACAATTTTTTAAAATTAAGTAACCTCTATGCCCAACATGGGGCTCAAACTCACAAGGCCAAGATCGAGAGTCACATGAGTCACACCAACTGAGCCAGACAGGTGCCCCATTCAAAAAAAAAAAATTATTATAAGTAACACATGATGGGGCTCCTGGGTGGCTCAGTCAGTTAAGCATCCAACTCTTGCTTTTGGCTCAGGTCATGATCTCAGGGTCGTGAGATCGAGCCCCACGTCTGGCTCTGCGCTCAACGTGGAGTCTGCTTGAGATTCTCCCTTTCCCTCTGCCCCTCCCACTCGTGATCTCTCTCTCTCTCAAATAAATAAGTACATCTTTTTTTTTTTAATAACACATGACTAAAAAAAATAACACATGGTAACTAGGCTTGTCTGCAGATCTTAGCACACCTGTGGGAGAGTCTGGGGAGGAGAGGTCCCTGGAATTGGGACTTCACCATCTCAGACAGTCCCTCTCATGGATTCATCCTGTCTGGCAAACTTGGCCCTACCTTCCCCAACACCCCCTGCTACCGTAGCCCTCCCCTGCCCCACGAGTGCTGGGCCCGGCATAGAGAAGGCCTCCAGCGCAAGCTTGATGAACTAATGACCAAGTGGATGGAGGAGTGAATGAACAAGCCAGTGAGGCTGCCCTCCCCTTTGCTATCCCCTGAGGATTCTCTCCAGCTCAGACCACAACCCTCACATCTGGCCTGTGGCGGTTGCCTCCTCACTGGCCTCCAGGCCTCCAGGCCTGCCCCGCACAGTCGCCCACTCAGTGGCCCTCCTATATTAGCGTCTATTTCCTAGGTGCTGCCGGGGGCTCCCCAGCAGACTTGAGAGTGGGCATGAAGTCACTTTGCCAAGAGTGTGTCTGCCCAGTAGGGAGCTTCGGCCAAATCTCTGTGGCTCTGAGCACATAAGTGCCAGGTAGTGAGCAAGCCATGTCCTGTCTCTGGGCCTTAGTTTCTCCTTGTTTTTTTCATTCATTTAACCAATATTTATTGAGTAACTGCTTTGTGCCAGGCCTATAACCCAGGGCCAGGAATGACTACAGGCCAGGCTGTGTACGAACCAGAGGCCACACACAGACCACACCCAGCAGGACTCGTGGAGTGCAGTAGGTACCCAGTAAATGGTAGCCATGACCGTAACCCTTGACAAAGACCGGGGAGGGGCCCCCGGAGGAGATGATGGTAGGGCTGGACCTCTACAGACAGTTGGGGCTTCGCAGGGGGAGACAGAGAGGAGGGCATCCCACATGGAAGGCATGGAACAAGTGAAGGGGCAAAGATGGAAAACCCTATGTGACTCCAAAGGTCTGGAGAGATGGCTGCAGAGACCCAGAAGCCAGGACCAGAAGTTAGGACTTCATCCTGGCCTCTGGGGCTGAGGGAGGAAATGCCTCTAGCCACTGCTGGCTCTAGCCTGGGTGGGGTGTCCCTGGGGAGGGACAATGGGCAGGAGTCTTGCTTCATGTTCTCCCACCAGCTTGGCCCCTTTATAAACTGACATCCTCCCTCAGGGACCAGCAAGATGGGGCTACTGTGGACCCCATTCTCCCTTTATACTCTCCTAGCTTGGGAAGCCGGCCTGCCTAAGGACCCAGGGCCACCCCAGCTGCCCAGGTAGCAGCCTAGGATGTCCTCCCCACCAACTGTCACTCCTTCCCTGGGTGTCCTTCTCCTACCCAGGTGCATTAGCCTCAAGGAGCAAGGTGGGAGTTTGATCATCTGGGCTCTGCGCTGTAAACTTATGCAAATAGATGCAAATAGTGCAAACCCTTGACCCTTGGCAGCTCTGGAGGCAAGGGTCCTGACAGCTGGAATCTGGGAGATGGAAAGAGAACCACATATCTGGAGCAGATAAGCCCACTCCCCCATGCCCACCCTGGGGCCGCCTGGCCCTGCATCTTCCTGCAGAACCCAGGAGCTGGAAGCCAGTAAAACTGTCTTCCAGTTGTCCTGGAGCCCCAGGAAGTTGTGAAGAGAAAAGGGCTCCAGGCCCTTAAGCTAAGGGATCCCGGGAAACAGGCAGGAACCTGGAGTGAAATGAGGCTGGGGCTCAGCAATTACTGTCTCTTTTGAGAGGCCATGACCAAGGGGCAAGGAACCCAATGTGTGTCCGGCCCCAGGCTGGGCTCCCAGCACCCCAAGGTTGGCTCTGTGAGGTAGCTGGTTCTCTCCCCATTTTGCTGAGCAGGAAAGTCAAGTCTGGAGACGATGAGCTGGGCAGTCATGACCTCAGAGCCAGTAAGGAGCCACTTCTGGCTCTGTGTCCCTCATTGCCCTGGGCACAGGGTGGGACTTAAGGCACCTTGGCCTCTGGCCTTTCGGGGAAACATGGACCACCTGGCAAGATGGGCCTCGGGGTGAGCCTGGTGAGTGGGTGGAACCATGGCCATCCTCTGTTTTCTTTGTTTTCTGTCCCCAGGACTAGAGAGGGCTGTCTCTGCTTGGCTGCTGTTGAAAGAGATGCTATGATTGCCCCCCCCCCGGGGGGATGGAAGGCTGGAGAAGTGGGGAGGGTGAGGAGAGAGGCCTGGGCACCCTCCCCTCTGGTGTGTGGGCCTCGGAAGTACTCAGACCTCAGAGCCAACACTCTGCCTTTTCCTCTGCTTCACAGAGCCAGGAACACGGTCTCAGGCAGTGCCGGGGTAGCAGTGGGCCACCAGACGTCTCTTCAGGGGCCCAGTGGAGTCGCCAGAGCTCCCGGGGTCCCACCCTTGGCCTGTTCCATTGCCTGCAGGGTGAGGGTTGGGGACTGCCTTGGCAATTCCTGTCAGCTCACCTCTCCTTCCATAGGCCCCAGAAGCTGTCAGGAGCTGCTGAGCCGGCCTGCCACGTTGAGTGGTTGGTGCTCTCTGAGCCAATGGAGGGCAGAGCCCCCCCAGCTTTTTGTGACGAAGAGCCCAAAGAGGGCTGCTGGCTGGTGAGTGTCTGGAGGCTCAAAGGGCTCAGGCCAGGCCCAGCGGGCGCTTTTCCCTTGGCCCCTAGGGGGAGCCAGAGCCCACTGGAGAGGCCGCCCTCCTCCCCGCCCCTGCCGACCAACTATTACTGAGCCCCCAGAGGGTCTGAAGAAGTCTGAGAAGGCTTCTCAGAGGCGATGCTGTTTGAAAGGGCCTTGAAGGCTGAGTAGAAGTTCTCTAGATAGATGCGGTTACTGAAGGGCATTCCACGTAGACAGAAAGACAAACACACAGGGAGGCAGGAGAGGCGGAGAGGGTTTGAGGAGATCCTGTGAATGGACTGGCATAGGTCAAGCGTGGATTTAGGGCCTCCGCAGAGGCCAGTTCCTGGAGGGCACGGGATGGCTGACTGAGGAACGTGGGAGGCTATGGGGAGCCATGGAAGCATCATAAGCAGAGGGCGGACCCAGTCAGACTTATATTTTAGGAAAAAGACTCAGGGGGCACTGTGGAAGGTGCTCTGCAGCGGGGGATGGGGTAGAGTCAGGGACGCAGGTTAGGAGGACGGCAGGGGTCCGGGCCACCGTGGAAGGAGAGGCCCTTAGACTGAAGAATATTGAGGAGAGAAACTCTGTAGGGGAGGCGCCTGTGTGGCTCAGTGGGTTAAGCCTCTGCCTTCAGCTCAGGTCATGATCTCAAGATCCTGGGATTGAGCCCCACACTGGGCTCTCTGCTCAGCAGGGAGCCTGCTTCCCCCTCTCCCTCTGCCTGCCTCTCTGCCTACTTGTGATTTCTGTTAAATAAATAAATAAAATCTTAAAAAAAAAAGAAAAAGAAAGAAACTGTAGGGCCTGGGGACTGCTTGGCTTGCGGCGGGAGGTGGGGGGCATCAGGATAAGGCTGGGACGTGAGATTGGGACTCTGGAGTGACCTCTCCGCTATAAGATCTTGATTTTCCTAGTAAATTAAAGCAGGTTGTTTTGAACCGACTCCCAGCAGGACTGACCATCCTCCAAGGGCAGGCCCGACGTTTCTCTCATTTCAGTCACCCAGACTCACACGTTATCAACAAGCCCCCAATCCAAAGAGGGGGCAGGTGTCTGCCCACCCCTCCCAGTGAGCCCGCTCTCCACAGCCACCACTCCCTGCTTCTCTTCGTCTCCTGCCCAGCCTGGAAAATTGGCTGCTGTGTTGGTTGGCCTTCTCTGCCTCCCTAAGTGTTCCAGAAGTGACAGAATGGTTCTGCTCTTGGTCCTCCTACAAAGCAGGTTTTGGGAGCCAGGAGTCTGAATTCTGGCTGGGGAATGAGAATTTGCACCAGTTCACTCCGCAGGGCCCCTGGAGCCTGGGGGTGCTGGGGAGGGCATTTTGCTGACACTCTGGGATCTGAGGATTCCTCCGTCCCTGCCTCCTCCTTCCCCCCAGGGACCTGGGAGCCACAGAGGGAGCTGGAGGACTTTATTGGCAACCACACTTTTGCCCACAATGAGGCCTCCTGCCTCCCTGGGGAGTCAGATCGCTCCCAGCTGGTGGGGGCAAGTTCTCAGAGGGCACAGCAGGCACATGAGCCTAAGGTGGGGCCCAGAGCAGGAGAAGAAGGGAAGGGAGAGGAGGGAGTCTGGATCCTTTCCCAGTGCTACCATGGCCTCCATAAATCACCCAGGGCAATTTCTTCCCCTCTGTGGGCCTCAGTCTCCACATCTGAGAAATGGCAATCATTAGACAGAATCGTGTAGGAGTGAACACGTCGGGCTCAGGAGGCAAAAGTTCTGAGTTTGAATACGGCTCTTTCACTTACTACTAACCATGTGACCTTGGCCAATTGCCTTCTGAATGGTCAGCTTCCTCCCCTATAAAATGGGCAAGGAGGCAGGGAGGGAGGTTGTGGGACCCATCTGAGGCCCTGCTGAGTGTCTGTGTTATCTGCTTCGGAAGAGGAACTGGGAAAGGGTTTTTGGTTTTGGGTGTGTGTATTCGTGTGCGTTTTCTTCAGAGAAACATGACTGTTGAGAGACTTCCAAGAGGGAAGTGGTTATGAGGAGGTGCCTCAGGATGCCGCTTGCCGGGGGCAGGCACTTGGAAGTCCCTCCCTACTCTGTCCCACCTGACCCTGCAGAGTTGTTGAGGCTGCTGGTGGGAGCTGGGGATTTGGGGAGGGGACAAGGCGGGGGTCGGGGGAAGGAGCTAGTGGCTTTGGAGTCACAGTCCTGAGTTCAAGTGCCTGTAGCCCTGTGACTGGCCAAGTGACCTGGGGAAAAGCCTCTGGCTCCAAAGGGCTGCTGTTTTCTCCCAGGGCCTGCTAACACTCACCTCATGGTTGCTCTGAGACCCCTGTGAGAGGATCTCTTTAAGGGTGCCAGCATGGCATCCCACTCCAGGGTGACTCCATCCCCTCCTGGCCAGCCGGGGGGCACCCTGAGCTTCCATAGTGGGGAAGTGGGAAGCCCTTTACCACCCATGATGCAAGCAAGAGCAAGGGTGCTGTGATTGTCCGTGGTGCCAGGTGGGGCGGATCGAGCCACCAGTCTAGTTTCTCGGAGGCCACCGCTCCCAAGTATGGCACCGACTGGGCCTCAGGCCAGGGCGTGGGCCACCCTTACCGCAAGGTTCACATGATGCTCACCAGGATAACCTGGCAGCAGGTCCCCTTATATCTCCCATCCCCTTATCTCTCCTGTATAGCTTCCGGACCCTCGGCTACCCTCCCCATTGCTAACTGCTGCTGCTCCCCTGTCCTCATTTAAAAATAAAATTACTTTAACCCTTTCCTGACTTGTAGGACTCTTCTGGCTACTGAGAAAAACCCAGGAGGGCAGAGCAGAGACACAGGGTTCAGCTCCATTCAAGGAAGACCTTCCTTCCAGTCAGGAAGATGGAAGGGTTGGTCTCGGAAGGTAGTGAGGCTTCCACCTCTGGAGGTATGCAAGCCAAGGTCAGAGGAGCATGTAGTGGAGGGTTTGGAAGGATTCGAGCATCCACTGACAGCCCCCAGTGCCCTCCAGGTCCTACAGGTGGATGGTTTTGTGGGGACACCTACACAGCATGTCACCCTGTTGACCCATGTCTGGGCCTTCTAAGTCATCTGTTCTCCACACCTGCCTCTCTTGCGAGCCAAGTCTCATTCTCTGCTACTTCCTGCCTGTCCCATTCGGGGCTGGTTTGAACTCTGAGTCAAGCCAGGGAAGGTGCATTTTACTTCCACAGGGTAACAGTCACCAAGCAGTTAACTTGCTAGACTCACGTTCTAGAAAGTGGCCGAGCAACACACACTTAAGACTGTGATAACTCCAGCCTGATGGGTGGTCCTGGGCTTGCACACTGCTCTGTCACGGAGGTGAGTGATCTTGGAGACTGAGTCCCCAGTTCCCGATTCCAGAACCCGCTGAGGTTTACACCTGACCGTGGCCTCGCTAACTCACACTGGAAGGCTAGGGGAGCTGTGCCATTGTGGCACACCCTCCAGGGCTGAGGTTTCTGGATCTTCTTCAGGTAGGTAGAGAAATGTTTGTGTGGGGATACAAGTCCCATGGTCATGTTTGGGTGGAGGTCAGAGGCCAGCAGATTAGATTATGGGGAAAGCAGCTCCCTGGTGAAAGGGCCAAGGCCTGGGCTCAGATGCCAAGTACCATGCTCCTGGCAGGCTGAGAAGCCCGCTTCCCCATTCTGGTTCCTCCCCACCTGCACAGCAGCCCCCCCCACCCCCCAAGGATGTAGGCTCTTCGCTGTGTTCTGCACACCCTTCTGTCTCTGGAGATGCCTTCATTCAACAGATCCCCGCCGGGCAGTTCCTGCAGTTCCCAGCTCCCCCCTAGTCCCGGCCTGGGCACACATCCTATAGGTGCCCGCTCTGAGCATCCACACTAGTTGGCCTGCGCGGGGGCACAAGCTGTTCCGGAAGCCGCCAGTCTCAGTGGTTCTGGCGGTAGAGGAGGGCGGGGAGAGGCCAAGTCCTGGGGCCGCGAGGGAGCGGCGCTGCCCCAGGGCCGAGGGTGGAGCTTTCCCAGTCGGCCGGGAAAGGGCTGGGCCCGCCCTACATGTGAGGGCAGGGGAGAGCGACGGCAGACTCTTTCCTGCGGTGTCGTGGTGGTGGACACGCCAGGACCGATTCCCGGGATCCCCTACGTGACTCTGGGCCGCGGATCACTGGATGTCCCAGATTCTCTGGACCCAATCCCCGACTTCAGATCCTCAGGACCTTGCAAGTCGGACCCCGGATTTCGCCCTGGGCTCCAGATTCCCGGAACAGGACTTCTGGCAGAGTCTGGATTTCCAGATCCCGTACCAGGTTCCCGATCCTGAGATCCCTGGATCCGTAGCCACTGGCTCCTGCCCCTCCCCGGGTGCCCAGAGCCGGGCGCCCGACACCCGAGCGCCCCCGCACGGCAGGGCCGTGCTTGCGGTCCGGAGCCCTGGAGCGCGCTGGCAGCTGCTGGCAGGACCCGCTGGCCGAGGCGCTGAGCCGGGGCCGGCCCCACGCCGCTCCCCCGAGCCGGGGCTACGCGCGAAGCCGGCCGCTCAGTGTGGTCTACGTGTTGACCCGGGAGCCGCAGCCCGGGGTGGAGTCCGAGGCGGAGCCGCTGCCCCTGCGCTGCTTGCGCGAGGCCTGCGCGCAACTCTCCGGGCCGCGGCCGCGACCGCAGCTGCGCAGCCTGCCCTTCGGGACGCTGGCGCTGGGAGACACCGCAGCGCTGGATTCCTTCTACAACGCGGGTGAGCTCGCGCTGGGGGCGGGCCCGGGGCCCCGGGCCTGGGGCGGGGCTTAGAGTCCCGGAGGAGGGCCGAAAGGGGCGTGGTTCGGCGACGCCGGGGAGACCCCGAGACGGGTGTGGGGTCCGGGGGGCACAAAGTGAGCTAGGCTGAGGGGTTCGAGATAGGGGCATGATAAAAGCGGAATTTAGGGGATCTGGAGCACGGCCGGGCTCGGGCTGGGACTTAGTAGATCCAGGCCCGGAGCCTCCGGGGCTCAGGGTTGGGTCTTAAAGCACTCTGGAGTCGGCACCGTGCCTGGGGAGCGGGGTTAAGACTGCGGCGAGGCTGGGAGCCGGTCAGAGAGTAGTATCTCAAGAGTGGGGTTGGAGGGCTCAGCCTCAAGTCGATCTCGCGCGGAGCTCGTGAGGGCGGATCCGGGGAGGTGGAGCTTGGACTAGGGAAAGGGGCGGGCCTTGGGGGGGTTCGCTGGAGTCCAGGGGCGGTAACACACTACTTCGGAGGATCGGGCTAGAGAGGCAGAAAGAGAAACGAAGGGACCCTTCGGCGCGGGATTCTGGGCGAAGGAGTTTAGGTTACGAGGCCCCAGAAGTTGCGAGGTAGTGGGCGGAGCTGGAGGCTGAGCAGGGTTGCTAGGGGGCGGGGCCAGAAAGGTGGCTAGTCCCGTGCTCGTCACCCCGCCTTCCGCCAATCCGGACGCCCCGCCCCGACACTTATTTGTTCATCCACGAGTCTGGGAACCAAGCTTATCTGACGGCCCTAAACTCACAGCGTAAAGATGAAGGCTGACTCGACCTCGAGGACACAAAGACCCACACAGCCTTAGACTCCCACGTCGCACATATGTTGACACACCGGCCCTCACAGACACTGTCACACACAGAGATAGAAACAGCTCTACACACAGGCACAACACCGTGCCCCGTACCCGCAGGCTCTAAGCAGTGGGATGAGGGTCCCAGCCCGTGGAGCTCAAGCCTCTCCTGCAACACCGCAGATAATATCCGTTCTGTGTAAGAGCCAGAGGGACCTAGAAGGGGGAAACTGAGGCCAGAGCGAAACTGTACCCTGCTGGAGTCAAGGGGGGAGGCCATCTGAGCCAGGACAGCCTCCCAGGCTCCTTCCCTGCCTGCGGAGCTAGGAGCTAGGCTTCCGGGCTCAGGGCCTCCGCCTGTGCCCCCACAGACGTGGTGGTGCTGGAGGTGAGCAGCTCCCTGGCGCAGCCCTCGCTCTTCTACCACCTTGGTGTGCGGGAGAGCTTCAGCATGACCAACAACGTGCTGCTCTGCTCCCAGGCTGACCTCCCTGACCTGCAGGCCCTTCGGGTAGGTGGCCGGGTGTCTGGGGGCGGGGGCAGGCGCGCGCAGGGGGCCAGCGGCTACCCAGGATACCGATTGGATTGTCCTCTGCAGGAGGATGTTTTCCAGAAGAACTCGGTGAGCAGAATCCACTCTCCGCTCCAGTGTGCCCTTCGACCCCCACTACCTTCCTGGCCTCCTCAGTCACCTCTGACCCAATTCCCTTGACATCCATGTGGCCTTCTGTTCCCTATTGCCAAGCTCACGACATGTGCCCTTTCTCTGCTGTTCCAGTCCCCTCTGGTGCTGACCTCTCACCTCCTCACTGTCGCTCTATAACCGGGTGCTGACCTCTGATCTGCCCTGATTGCTGCCTCCCTCCCCCCAGGATTGTGTCGGCAGCTACACCCTGATCCCCTATGTGGTGACAGCCGCAGGCCGAGTGCTGTGCGGTGATGCTGGCCTCCTGAGGGGACTGGCTGATGGGCTGGTCCAGGCCGGGGTGGGCACCGAGGCCCTGCTTACGCCCCTGGTGGGCCGGCTGGGCCGGCTGCTGGAGACCACGCCTACCGACTCTTGGTAATGGGGTACAGAGAAGGGGCACCAGGAGGAGGCTGGCGAGGGCACGACGGGCCTGGCTGAGGGACAGGCCCCATTGTTCTCTCCCCCTCCCTCCCTCCCTCCTCTGCCGGGGCCCTCAGTGGCTATTTCCGGGAGACCATCCGGCAGGACATCCGGAGGGCCCGGGAGCGCTTCTGCGGGGAGCAGCTGCGGCAGGAGCTGGCTCGCTTGCAGCGGAGGCTGGACAGCGTGGAGCTGCTGAGCCCCGACATTGTCATGAACCTGCTGCTCTCCTACCGTGACGTGCAGGTGTGTGGCACACAGGAAGGCAGGTGGGGCAGCCGCACCCCACTTCAGAAAAGACCCAGTCCCTCTCCTGGTTGTGCCACTCGCGTGCTGGTGGCTTTGAGCAGAGGGGCTCATGTCTCTGAGCCTCAGTTTCCTTGTCTGTAATAGGGGTCGATCATGTCACTGTTTCCCAGCATGGGGAAGTGGGGGCCCACAGCAGGTTCTCTGTGTCAGGTGTGGGGGTGGGAAGATGGGGTTTCAGGGATGGGAGGGAGCCCCAAACTCAAGGTTTCCCTTAGTGCCTGGGGGGGCGATGGGACCCTCCCAGAGGCTATCGTGCAGTGTGCACTGTCCCCCTCCGCAGGACTACTCCGCCATCATCGAGCTGGTAGAGACCCTGAAGGCCTTGCCCACCTGTGATGTGGCCGAGCAGCATAACGTCTGCTTCCACTATACGTTTGCCCTCAACCGGTGAGTGATAGAACAAGGCTCAGATCCTAGCCTCCTAGGGACATGGGTCTCTGCCATGCGAGGTCCCTGCTGAGTGGGATCTGTGCTGTTCAGGGACTTTGCTGACTGGGATCCCACTGATGGCACATGGGACTGCCGCCTGGGGGGTGGCAGGTCTAGGGGGTCATGGCTAGAGTGGGGTGGGGTCATCAGGTAAGGCCCCGGCCTGCGCTCCCCTTTCCCTAGGAGGAACAGGCCGGGGGACCGGGAGAAGGCATTGGCCGTGCTGCTGCCGCTGGTCCAGAGCGAGGGCTCCGTGGTGCCTGACCTCTGCTGCATGTGCGGCCGTGTCTACAAGGACATGTTCTTTAGCTCTGGCTTCCAGGATGCTGGGTACCGGGAGCAGGCCTACCACTGGTAAGGGGCACCAGCGAGTGGACCGTGGGCTGGAGAATGGGGCTGTGGGCCTCGGGCCAGCCCTGAGGCCCCACCCCCACTCCAGGTATCGCAAGGCTTTTGATGTAGAGCCCAGCCTCCACTCGGGCATCAATGCGGCTGTGCTGCTCATTGCTGCGGGCCAGCGCTTCGAGGACTCTGAGGAGCTCCAGCTCATAGGTGAGTCCCAGCCCTGTGCACCTCCTCCCACCAGCAGGCCTCGGATGGGCCAGGGGAGAGCGTGGGCAGAGAGGACACCGGGCTGGAGCCTGGCCTTGTCCCTTTTGGATCTATTCTGCCAGAACCCACACCTGGACCCTCATACCCGTCCTGGGCCCTCATGAGCCCTTGAGGCCACAAGTGTGCCAAAGCCCACACCTGTACTCCTTACACACCAAATTTGACATACACTCGTTCCCCAAACCTTCCTTGTGCCCGAGCTCCTACTCCCACCTGAGAGTCATACCAAAGCTTTCACCTTTTTTTTTTTTTTTTTTTTTTTTTTTTTTACGATTTGTTTATTTATTTGAGAGAGAGAGAGGGAGACAGAGCAGGGGAAGGGGCAGAGGGAGAGAGAATCCCAAGCAGACTCCACACTGAGCGTAGAGCCCAATGCAGGGCTTGATCTTGCGACCCCAAGATCATGATCTGAGTGAAACCCAAGAGTTGGATGCTTAACCAACTGCGCCACCCAGGCGCCCCGCACCTGTTTCTATGTTCCTGCCCACATGGATGTCGTGGCCCACACCTGGGCTTTGCCCAAATCCACAGCCACACCCCCTAGGTCCCACACCCCTCTCTCCCAGGCATGAAACTGGGCTGCCTGCTGGCCCGAAAAGGCTCTGTGGAGAAGATGCAATATTACTGGGATGTAGGCTTCTACCTGGGAGCTCAGATCCTCGCCAATGACCTTGCCCAGGTGGCGCTGGCCGCAGAGCAGCTGTACAAGCTCAATGCTCCCATATGGTAGGTGGCCTCCTCTGCAGTCTGGGCCCGGCCTCAGCTGCCTGCTCCTGCACACATGTACCCCCACATTCTAGCCCAAGCCCTGAGCTGGTGACATGGCCCCTTCCAGACCAGTGCCCACCGCACCCGGTGCCCATGTTCTGGCTGCCTCCAAGCCAGTCTGCTCTCCCGGGCAGTGCTGGTTGGGGCCTGGGCTGAGTTGAGGACAAGGCTGTGCCGGCAGGTACCTGGTGTCCATGATGGAAACCTTCCTGCTGTACCAGCACTTCAGACCCACGCTGGAGCTTCCCGAAGGACCCCCGCACCGTGCTCACTTCTGGCTCCATTTCTTGCTGCAGTCCTGTCAGCCACTCAAGACGGCCTGTCCCCAAGGGGACCAGTGCTTGGTGAGGCTGCCCAGTGTGGGTGTGGGACCTGGGAGAGGGGTGGGGCCTCTCTAACGGACCCCCTTCCTCATCATGTGCAGGTGCTGGTCTTGGAGATGAATAAGGTGCTGCTGCCTGCCAGGCTGGAGATCCAGGGTACCGACCCGGTGAGCGCAGTGACCCTGAGCCTGCTGGAGCCCGAACCCCAGGTGAAGTCACTGCTGGGCATCCCTTCCCCAAACCACTCTCCGAGTCCCCGAGGACTCCCCTCAGACCCAGCTTCTTCTGCCAGGACGTTCCCTCCAGCTGGACCTTCTCAGTGGCTTCCATCTGCGGGGTCAGGTGAGAGGAGAGACCTCCGGTGGCCGGGTCCCAGGAGGGGCGTGCCCCCTGGCCCACTAGCACTCACGGAGGCTCTTCCTCCCTTCCCAGCTCCTCCAAGCGGGATGAGCGCTGCTGCTTCCTCTACGCGCTGCCCCCGGCGCAGGACGTGCAGCTCTGCTTCCCCAGCGTCGGGCACTGCCAGTGGTGCGCGTGGATGGCTGGGGTGCCCGGGGAGTGAGGGAAAGGAAGGGACATGTTCCTTGGGAGCTCTCGGCCCCGGGAGGGGACAGTTCCCACCCAACGTGCCCCTCCCGTCGGCCTGACCTCCCCCACCCTCAGGTTCTCCGGCCTGATCCAAGCCTTGGTGACGAATCCGGATTCCACGACTCCCGGGGAAGAGGCAGAGGGCGTGGGGGAGGTGCTGGAGGTGAGGAAGGGGGCCTGGGAGCGCCGGAAGTGGGGGTGGGGAAGGGCTGGGGGCCTCACTGAGCCCCCATCTCGCCCGCCCCCTGGCAGTTTGATTATGAGTACACAGAGACGGGTGAGCGACTGGTGCTGGGCAAGGGCACCTACGGGGTGGTGTACGCGGGCCGCGAGCGGCACACGAGGGTGCGCATAGCCATTAAGGAGATCCCGGAGCGGGACAGCAGGTGCGGTGTGCGGGGGGGGGGGGGGGGGGGGGGGGGGGGGGGGGGGGGGGG